ACAGTGAAATAATGATTATTTCCTATGAATGAAGGCCCCAATCAAAGATCCGTATTTGCTCACGTAAGGGGAACTTCGAACCGCAGGGAATGACCGTTGGGATCGACGTTTGGACCAGATTACGACATCATTAAGTTCGATCAAACTATGAGCACATTAGTGCCAGGCGGGACACATTTCTCCAATTATTAACGGGCTGAACGAGTCTCTCCGCTGCCAGGGGAAACAAATATCTCTCTTTTCCTTCCCGCTGCAAGCGGGCAGACCAGACACTTGTTGATTGGTTGATTGAGCTTCCCGCTGCCAGGGGGAACATATATCTCTCTTTTCCTTCCCGCTTCAAGCGGGCAGACACTTGTTGATTGGTTGATTGAGCTTCCCGCTGCCGGGGGGGACAAATATCTCACTTTTCCTTCCCGCCGCAAGTGGGCAGACACTTGTTGATTGGTTGATTGAGCTTCCCGCTGCCAGGGGGGGACAGATATCTCACTTTTCCTTCCTGCTTCAAGCGGGCAGACACTTGTTGATTGGTTGATTGAGCTTTCCGCTGCCAGGGGGAACAAATATCTCTCTTTTCCTTCCCGCTGCAAGCGGGCAGACACTTGTTGATTGGATGATTGAGCTTCCCGCTGCTAGGGGGGGATATACATCTCACTTTTCCTTCCCGCTGCAGGCAGGCAGACTCTTGTTAATTGGCTGTTTGAGGTTCCCGCTGCCAGGCGGAACAAATATCTACTTATTGATTGGGTCAAACATCTCATCTTTGTTGATCACCTTTGTCGACTGGCTGCGCAGCAGGCAGGCAGAAACTCGTTGAATGGATAGTCGCCGCTGCAGACGGGACTGACTTTTCCTGGAGGTTGGATAATAGCCACGGCTGATGTGATCAGTAAATCTCGTTGTCAGCCAGAACAAGAACCGTTGCGGGGTCGGCCAGACAAAGAAGAAGAGAAGAGTGCCAAGGGGAACAAGTCAAAACAGGTGGCAGGTTTTTTGCTCGTAATTCGAGCTATTCCCAGCTAGGTGTGCACGGTGTGGGCGACGAAACTTGTGCTAAAGCCCTTTTGTCCTTCAGATACCACGTCTTGCTGTTTCCCAGATTAATTGTCTTTCAGTAATACTCCCACGAAACTCTAGAGGAAGGGTGTTGTCCATAACTATGGACCCTCGAGTGACCTCGGGTCTCGTGATTAAACCAATTTATAACGATTGCCCACTCCTTTATCATTTCAAACCCCACTTAACTGGGTCGAGGCTGACAGCCTCAGGTTACTAGCCGGAGGGGCTTTGACGGCTACGCTAATCCAGGGCAGCCTACCGGTCGCTGAGGACCTCAGAAGCGGGCGTAGCGAGTGACAGGCGCTATGGCCCATAGCTTCGGCGAATGGTAGGCGACCCTTCCCCGGGTTTCCTCATAGCGTGTGGGTTCGACGTGGGTTCGGCGTGGGTTTGGCGTGGGTTTGGCGTGGGTTTTGCGTGGGTTTGGGCGTGGGTTTAAGCATGGGTTTTGGCGTGGGTTTGGGCGTGGGTTTGGGCATGGGTTTAGGCGTGGGTTTGTCGTGGGTTTGGGCGTTGGTTTAGGCGTGGGTTTGCGTAGGTTTGGCGTGGGTTTGGCGTGGGTTTTCGCGTGGGTTAGATGTGGTTTTAGGCGTGGGCTTAGGTGCATTTTTGGGCATGGTTTAGGCATGGGTTTAGGCGTGGGTTTGGGCGTGGGTTAGGCGTGGGTTAAGGCATGGGTTTAGGTGTGGGTTTGGGCATGGGTTTAGGCATGCGTTTAGGCGTGGGTTTGGGCGTGGGTTTAGGCGTGGGTTTAGGTGTGGGTTAGGCGTGGGTTTAGGCATGGGTTTAGGCGTGGGTTTCGGCGTGGGTTTAGGCATACGTTTTGGGCGACGGTTTGGCGTGGGTTTGGCGTGGGGTTGGCGTCGGTTTGGGC